TTTTCAGAGTCCTCACTCATATGTAGGCTGCAGCAGGCCACATCTGTGTGCAACACTATTTTTATCTACCATTTCCTCAACAAACAAAGGTAAGAGCAGCGGCCGCCCAGCACAGGCTAACAGCCGGGCGAACCCTGTGAAAAGCTATCACGGTTGTCCGCAGAGCCTTCCGAGTCTGGGAGCAGGCAGCCTGCCTCCGGGGAGCAGAATGGGTGCAGAGAGGTTACTCAGCCTCACAGCCAGCCAGCCACCACCACCAAATCCAACCCCAAGACACTCCCTGAGAGGCACTTCTCTTACAGCCAAAGCCGGGCACCGCCAGCAGAGCTCCACATCACCAGCTACCCCAGTGCCGGGGCTGAGCAGCATGACCCAAGGGGCCGGCAGCCTCCGCTGGGCTGCGACACCCAGCCCGCTCCTGCCGTGGGGGAGAGGCGCAGCCCTCGGAGCAGCAGCCACCTCCGTCCTCAGCTGCTTGGCGGCTGCAGCAGCAGCGGAGGCACAAACCCAGCTCCTGTCCCCGGCTCGGATGCCCAGCCGTGGCCATAACGGGGTGATCCACATCCTGACCTCTTGGATGGATTCAAGTGTGCAAAGTCAGGGACAGCATTAAGATTGCTGGTGAGGGCAAACAGTCCCCAGACTGGTACGACAAAATACACATCTCAGACTGACTTCCACTAAACGGCAACAAGTCTTTACGCATCACTGGCAGCTCAAGAACTTCTTTTACAATTAGATTCCTCAGCTCAGAGGACGACTCAAAGACAAGCTTAAGATAAGTGCTGGACAGCTCCTAATAAAACAAGGACTAAGTGCTACCAACTGTCCCACAAAAAATTGATTTTTTTTTTTCTTAAACATGAAATACACTTTTTAAGGTTCACCTATATATAGCGTAAAACTTCTTATGTCCCCAGGTAAGCCATAACTTGATGTTGTCATTTTGGAGCTTGCATGTTTGCTTTTTTGTTAGCACTGCCAAGGAACTTTTTTTTGGTTTTTTTAAATCTCACCATATATCATATTTTAATTATTTACTCATGACAATGATGTCAATGAAACATTGTATTTCTAAATTTGCTTGATCACTTAGCCTCTAGAAACTTTAGGATATTTTTCAGGGATAGTTTATTTTCTCTTTTGAAAAGAGATTTAAGAAAAAAAAATACTGTTACAGGCATTTAATTGGATGTAAATGATTTGAGGGAGAAGCGTTTTTTAACCTACAGTCTATATACAGAAATCAAGCTGAAGTTCAAATCAGAACTTGAAAAACCCCATAAATTCTGGGATTTGGGCTGAAAATCCAGCCACGATATGATTCAAATATTACAGTAATTGCACACTGATAAAATAAAGCTATTGTTCTTTCTGAATGGAAACTTAAATACAGTGTTTTCTTACAGACTCACTGTTCTGGGCCAATAGCTTTCATTTCCTTTGATGCAAAGAACAGCTCTTTTACTGAAATTCTCCAGGGCTTAAATGATTCACACTTGGGGTTTTTCCCTCTGAATTGGAGCTTTAAGAAGTCAGGAAATTGGTTGCTTTTCCCATCAATAAGCAGCCGTGCAGTCAGGTGGTTAGGTAAGCAGGAAGTGGAACTGTTCTTCAAGGTAGGCATATAGAAACCCAAAAGGCCACTGTGCAAATTTCCAATGAATAATATGGCTCTGTTCATCATCTTTCAGTATTAACTGGCAGCAGTCGGCTCTTCGACACCCACAGCCCAGAAAGTCTTGTACACCTCACCAAGATCTGCCGCACGCTGCCAGAGGCACAGACTTCCACTAGACACTCAAATCTTTCATTCCTCAAATAGTAAGCTCTGTTGAATTTTTTTTTTTGCCCAAAATGTTGCTGCTTCTCTGTCATTGTCAAGAACAGAAAAAACTGCCAGCCACAGTTTCCTGCTATTTTGGTAGTGGGTAGCTGAAAAGCTGGTTTAGCAAGCAGCCAGGAAACGTTAAACCACTTGCTTAAAAAGGGGAAAAAGTGCAAGTGCACCGATCTACAATTCAGTGACAGGAGAGTTTGGATGGGGTGCGTCGCTGAAAGAGCCAGAGTTGTGTAAGAGAGGGGAAGCGAACTGGGAAAGTAAAACTAAGTGTGCTCAAGAACACTGGGACAACCTAAAGAATAAAACCCTGCCTTTCCAATTTGCTTAATTATATCACATAGGCACTTCATTCAATTTTCAAGTTTATTTCACCTTTACAAAAGGTCACAATCAGAAATCTTGTTGAAAATGTTTAAAAAAGAAGAAGGGTCAATACAGAGCCGAGAATAAACATGGCCAACATAGAAAGAGCTGGAAGAAGTGTCTTTACTAACTGGTGTTTAGACTTCTGAGTCTAAATCCCACAGCGAAACTGCTTACAAGGCAGACACAATCTTACACTTTAAAAAAGTTATCCTATTTAATCCAATCCAATGCTTTCACCTTGCCTTGGCTGAATCTCCAGTTCACCTCAATTAAGAATCTGCACATTTCCCAAAGCAATGGAGGAAAACTCTCTCTTTAAGTGAATTTCATACAGGGATACCTATGGGAAAAACTCTCAGCAACACAAGGATTAATAGTAAGAGGATCAAAGACGGCAAAAATACATTGAAAATACTAATTATGTCTCACAACGTCCTTTCAGGGTTGAGAAGTATCACTGCTCTCAATCTCCATGAAGGGGAAGCTAAGGTATACGGATGTCAGTTGCAGTAAACACAGTAACAGAGATGTCAGAAGATTAAAACTAGGACTACGGAGGAATACGTCATAGTGAAGGGATAACCCTCTGCGCTTCATTTTCCCTTACAATTATTTCACCCAGTTACAAGATTCTATAATGCACAAAAAAAAAAAAAAGCAAAAAAGACAACTCCTCTTGACATAATCACTGAAGAAATGTTCAGCAATGAAACCATGTATATGAATCATGAAATTAATCCCTCCGTTTTATTCAATCTTGCCAAAACCTCCTCCAGAGGCTTCAAGAAAGACCAACTGGAAAGAGCTTGGAGAGAGGGGCTAAGAGGTCTAAAAACCACAGCCTGGGAAGTGGGATAAGAGCCTAGAGAAACCAAGGACAGATGAATGCTTAAAAAGATGCCGAAGAGGCAATTCTTCCTCCTAAGGAAGGGATAATGTAAATTTTAACTTACAAAATCTCTCTACTCCTCTGATTTGAAATCAGTCACTGGACTGGATTGCCTAGAGAGGCCCTGGAGTCACCTCAATGGAAGTCTAACAGGTAGATCGTTATCCAGGCTCACCAAGCATGCCCTGGAGCACAGAAGCTATGTGACTGGCTTACCAAGGTAATAACCTGTCCCACTTCTTAGGATTCTCTGTCAAGTGCTTTTGCAACACACATCTGTGGAGGCAATAACTATTGTAATTTCACAGAGCCCTACTTAAAACAGCATGTCATTCAGACTTGGAATAATCCCCTCTGACTATTTAGTAAGGTGATTAACAGAAATTTCATTATTCTGTTAGGATTTAATTTAGAAGCCCTGTACTGTTTACGTTATCTGTAAGAAATCGTGAAGAAGCTGATGCAATGGCTGTACTGTGAGATATTTATAACCTTTCACGTGAACGCTGAGTCCAACTCATTTTTGCCCAAAGCTGGTTCAGTCATAAGAGTCTACTCCAAGCAGCTTTCACCAGAAGGCCAGACCAGAAGGCATCCAGAGCTTTGAATCTATTATTGCAGTCACCTAACACAAAAATAATTACGTAAAAAAGACACACGAGTTTTAACTAGTTGAAGCCAAAGGCTAGATTCTTCCTTGAAATCAGTGTCAATTCACAGAAAGCAACCAATTCCAGCTGAAACCATGTTAGAGCTCTATGAAACTGGAGGAGCACTAATCTAACATAAAAAAAAAAAATCCTCCACGGTACAATTTTAAGGAAAGAGAACATCTTTCAGCCGATGATCCAGTCCCTGGAGCTGTGCTGGTGTACACCAGCAGACACTCTGGTTCTTCTTCTGAGGTGGGGAAAAAAAGCATCAAGAACAAATGTTGGGCTTTTCTCTGTTTTCCACTGTCTTTTCCTACTCTATAAGCTAGGTGAGAAGGGAGCATTAAACTGAATGTCTTTCTCCAGACAGCACGATCCTCATTTGAGCTTTTCAGAAGTCTCCCTTTTGTAATTCAGTATTCCAGGTACCAAGGATTGCTGAGTTATAGAAGAGAAAGAGGATAAATGTTACTCCCTTCTTCCCCTAGTTTCCGTGGAGAGGATGAGGGGATCACAGAACTTGCACAGAAAACTCTCTGCAAGCCCAAACGATGTGGCCAGGGCAGTCTCACACTGGCACCTCTGTGCGCTGGGACTGGCCTAACCAACACCTTCTGTTGAGATGGGAGAGGAGAGTATTTCATGGATTAAGAGTAATCGCCCTTTGCTGCATAACGAAGAGGGCAATTTGGCAGGAGTGAAAAGCACTGCCTGCTTAGAGAAGAGTAGTAGATATGGTTGCTAGGCACAATGCCTTATTCCCTTAACATGAGCATCAGGACACATCCTGGAAATAGGGCTAGCCTGGGAAAGCCGTGAGAGTGCCCTATAGGCACTACTGTATTTCCTGTAGCACTGAAGGGATTGATGGTGGGACGCCAATCTTCTACATGTGTATCGATCTGTGGGAGCATCACAGAGACATGTGCAGAAGATGCAAAGGGGAATAATGACAGGAAGGGTCCCTGGTCCCAAACAAAGTTGAAAAGAGCATCAGTGAAAAAAAAACAAATAACAACCCAAGAAACTTGCAATAATGTGATGCTGCTGAATTGAATGTCAGTCTGACTTAGCAGGTTTTCTGTTTCTAAATGCTGGGTTTGTTGAGAAGAAACAACGTGAAACTCCCGCTAAACCCATTCCTTATGGCTATGTATATCAAGATGCTTTATGCATCCAGCCCCTTCCTTTTTTTTGAAAAGGTGAGCTCAGCTCCCCATTCTCACAGCACATTGCAATTTATCTGTTTTCACTGTAGACTCTGAGGGTAGAAATCACAAGGCTTTTCTTCTGGTGTTTTGTCTCCATGTTCTTCTTCTGGAAACTGGCAGCTGTAAGTCTCTTCTCTGTGGTGTAACGGTTGTGGAGCCACCGGCAGCCTAGAGAAGTTACGTTCCAGATCTGCAGTGAGAATAAGCAAAAGCACTGCACATACAAGAGGTCTTCATACATGTCAGTGAGCTGCCCATTACCTTTACCAATACAGCCTCTCTCCGAGGAAAGGACAAAGATACAGGTGATGCGCTGCATCTTAGTGAAACCAAGTAACCCGCCCAGAATAAATCCATATTTACTCTATTTATTCAACTTAACTTATTCCATTCTGACTCTGGATCAATGGGCACATTGTTTGCCACTGAAAAGCTACATAGAAGTCCACAAAGGTGCACTTACCGTCAGCTGCATGGTATTTTTCTTTCTTCAGTGACCATATGCAGAAATGCAAGAAGAAGGTCAGCAAGATGAGAACGAATACAGCCACTGCTGTAAGGATGGCCAGGACGGTGGTGTATAGAGAGTCATTTGTAATAAGAGCTGCAATTAAATAAATTTAATAAAGATTAAGAAATCATGTGCCCAGACTATTGTTAAAGGAAAGGCAGTTCTTCCAAGGAAATTTAGAGATTAATTTCCTCTTTCTGTGGAAAATAATTTTCCAAGGAAAAAAACAGTGCAGGTATTAACAATAAAACTGAGATGCTCCCAGCGAAGGGCGCAATAGATCACTGTCTGTGGTAAGAAGCATTCATGCAAAAACCCCACATGCCTGATCTCTTCACTGTTCAATGTTTCTCTCTCTTGCAGCTATCACTTGTTCTATGTACTAGGTTTTGGGGTTTGCCCTTTTGGGGGATTTGGCTTCAATGTTTCCGTGAATAGCACTACAGCAAGCCAAATTTTCACACTTGTGTCTGCCTCACGGGAGTTAAAAGTAGCGCCTTTTTGCAATTTGTCTCAGCAGAATGAACAATTTCTCTGAATGAAGGGCCCAGACCTGAAAGGCACCAATTCACTGTAGGGACAAGGGTGGGGGGAAAGGCAGGAGCAGTGCAGCTTGCTGTCTTCAAGATACTCTATACCTGCAAAGCCTGTAGCCACTTATTCCTATCTAATTTGATCCGTGATAAGACATGAGATTTCAATTCTGGGTGTGGTGGACTCAACCAATACTTGTAAAGGAACTGGATGACTAACTAAGCTGTTGTCTTCCTAAGAAAATCTAGCAAAACAGCAAGAGCAGTTTAATGGAAAACTCTGATAATTTGCCAGTGTGCCCTATTCAAGGACAATTGTTGGGCTTTTCTCTACCTTTATTACTGACAGTGCTTTAATTGTGGAATTTTTGCCCAGCTCAACAATTCTACCTGTATTAATATTGCAAGAAACACAACAGTAATTTTCAAAGCAAATTTCAATGACAGCAAGCTCTGGATGATAACTATACAGCAAGTCATCAGTTGAAGAAGTGTAGAGAAAAGTTATAGGCTCAAAGAAACAAATCATTGTACCTTGCTCCAAATCTTTAGCAGGGAAGCCACATATAGCATTATGTGTGCTGTTGCCTTGCTTGATTGTTAGAAACCCAGAACTCTCACAACTAAAAGAAGAATAAGAGTCACATTTAGAATGTTCCTGCCTTTTCTTCATTCCTCTCCAACCTTTCTCTTGGCTCCCTTTCTTCCTTCCCTCCCCTCTTTCCACAACTTGTTTCCTTTTTTTTCCCTGTTCATAGCAGTGCAGGTAAAGTTATGGCTCTTCCCCAGCAAGATTAACACTGCATCACAATTGTTTATGTGCACATTTTTTTTAGCCTCTTTGTTTCAAGTGATGTCCATGTTTGGAATAATTTTGCACCAGTTTGAGCTGGACTTGGAAGTAAGTTAAATACACAGCAGTTTGTCTTAAGTTATGCTTTGAGACCCACTATTTATAAGGCCGAAGGAGAGAGAAATACCATATATTGCTGAATTTAAAAAACTAATAATTTAATCTCATTGGTGATCTCATCTTCGATTCAATTTTATTTTCTAATTTAAGTATTAATAATTTGAGAATTTTATCATGCGTATTTCCAAAGAAGGAAAGTATCAATAAATACATACTCAGTCCAGTTACGACACCAGCCATTCTTAACATTAGCATAGGTTCCTATCTCACACGGTTTACATTTGAATGTGAAGTCTAAAATTCCTACAAGAAAAGAGAACATGAATTATTAGTGGTCAGTGCCTTTACTGAAGGATGGAGATACAGCAGATTAGAGCACAATGCATTCCCTCTACACTCTTTCTGCATTACGAATCACGCCCCTGGAGAAACACATAAGCAGTTCTTGCCACCTTTGCATTTTTGGAAATGTATGGGCGGACCCCTTACAGAAGAGGTACAGAATAGTCTGATCTGACAGCAGAGGGTGTAAAGTTAAGAGGCAACACAGGGTAAAACAGTCTTCTACTGACAGTTCTAGCAGCTTGGAAGAAAAGTACTATCGGAAGTCTGAGCGTGAAAGTGAAAGTCTCAAATTTAGGACAGGAAGCAAGGGTTTTAGTCCCAGACGTCACAGTAGAAATGCCATTTCTCTCTGCGTCACGAGCCTTCCCAAAAGCAGGTTATAGTAAGTGAAGGAAACTGTCTGCTGCTCAGCCAGCCACTTGTATTGAACACTGTCTTTTAGAGTCATTTGTGTTTCTTTAGTTACCAAGCTTAACCAGCTCCTCGCCCTCTGCACATTCAGGCAGTTTTTCGCAGTATTGACATGCACTATCGGTACAGCTGTATCCCTGAGGACATTTGCAGTCATGGTCCTCAATATTTTGACACGGGCTGTTGTCTCCTGTCAAGAAGAAAGAAGTTAGACTTGCCTTTGTCACAGAGGCCAGAAATTAACTGAACCATTAGTCTTACTGGCTGACACAGGTGAAAGCTCCTTACTGTGCTGTGGTGGAAAAAATGGATACCAGAAATATGTCACTCCCATGCATACTGGATAAAGTTCAGAGTACTCAAATTCAGCACCCCTCAGATTTTTACACCATGGTTATCTGAGCACCGCATGACTTACCACTGTAACCCTTCTCTCTTATCTGGAATACCAATGTAGGCCACGGTAGACAGAAGTAAGGCAGCAGGTTTGCTTTACCACATTGTGCAGATTTAGACACTGCGGGGTGAGGAAGGCACCGACAGTGCCCCAGAGAAGCACTACACATTAACTAGCCATCCAGTCAGCTCTCGGGACACCGCCAGAGCTCTTCTCTGGCTCAGCCATGTTAGAGGAGGGATGCCCAAAAGATCCTTGGCCAGTGAAGCTAGAGCTCCTTTTCCATGCCTTTCCTAAGAACAGCAGCTGCTTCCTACAGTCTGTTGGCAGAAGTGGGTCTAAATCCAAGCCATAAAACCAGCACCCTTCCTACCCTCTGACCTTCTATTCCTAGAGGAGTTCTATTGTCAACCTTGCTTGCACTCAAAGTATCATCTCTAATTCTGAGAGGCTCATGGATTCATGAAAGTAAAGGATTGATCATATATACTGATCCCATCAGTAAACAGTATCAAGCAGTCCTTCAGCCAGTTGGAGACCAGTTAGAAGGAAAGTGCTGTTCACCCAGGAAGCTGTATAACCTTAAAGAAAAAAAAAACACATGAAAAAGCTGGCTAGTTCAATAGCATGCTTAAAAACCCACAGCGAGTAACAAAGATCAAGCAAAGATTATCTCCTGAGGTGGGTGATGGAATGTACAGGGCCTCCAGGGAACTGCCCACATCTTCCCCTGCCCACTGGCCTCCTCTTACTGGCCTTCAAAACTTAATGAAGTCTGGTAGCAAAAAGGAAACAGTTTGGGGATGCTTCTTTCTGCGTGTCACTAGTGGGTGATTCTGTAGTTGATCCCACCAAGCAAGGACTCTCCTACCTCATGCTGAATGCCTTTATCTCAGTGGGAAGGGAAATACCCTGGGGTCTCCACACTACTGAGGACTCTATAGCTCTTCCCCTATTTATTGCTCATTCCCACAAATCCCGTGTGTCCACTCACTCCTTCCACAGGGAACTCAGTGTCCTTGTTGTTGGTTGAGGCAGATATATTCAAGCTACTAATAGGCTGGAGGCTGACTCCTACCTAGGCACCAACAAAAGACCTAACTTCTCAGCTAATCCTGTTGCTAACCTACAGGACAACAGCACTGCCATACTAGCTAGACAAGGCTCCCAGCGATCCTGTTTCAATACAAACAGAAAAGGAAGGTGCATTCCTTGCTGTAGGTCATACAAACAGCTGCATGTTCCCTACTGTTCAGCTCTGGCTACCATTATGGATAGCACTAAATTAGGAAAAAGAGTATGATTGTTCCTGGGACCATGGAAGAGGCCATTAGAATCACCTGTTCTGTCCTTCAGCCTAAGAGGCACAGAAATGTCACCCAGTAAGTCCTGCAGCTAGCCTGTTCCACCTCTAGTGCCTTAATTTGACTTAAAATTACAGGCAAGTGAGAACCCACTACCACCTCACCACCATCCTAATATCAGGCAAGGATACAAGTTAGAACAGGCTGTTGAAACTAATGGTCACCTGAGACCTTGCCTGTGCATCTACTTCTGGCACAAGCACAGGTCAGTGGAACAGAGGGATTGAAGTGGGATGCTTCCTGCTCTTTAGGACCACAAATTGCAAAGAACAGCCTTACAGAGACCATCACTCTCTGTATTCCCTCTGAAGTCTGAATGGCACAGACAAACTTTGAAACCATGTTTGAATGGAGCAAGGGCTCAGAATCAGTGTAAAGTGAACACCTTCTTTCCTAGTGAGCAAGACCAACCCACAGAAAGTTAGCTTTCCCTTTCCCATGAGAGAATAGCAAGCATAAGCACATAAATCTGAAACATGAATCCACTCTGAAGTTTATAGCTAAGGCATGTTATGAATTTAGGGGGTAGGAGGGAAGCCCTTGCCATTTTGTTTTGCATATACTCCAGATACATTTACATACACACACACACACACGCCTGCTCCCCACACTTGATTACCCTGGTTGACATAAAACAATATTGACAAACAGAAAGAAGAGAGACACATCATTTCCTTACCTGTGTTTGAGCTGCATTTGGGGCAGCATTTCTTTTCATCTTTACTGATTATTTTCAGTTCACCATCCTGGCATGATGTTGCCAGAGTTTGCTGTGTCCAATGCCATAGGCACACCACAAGCAGCAAGCAAGCTCGAATCTTGAGGTGACCGGCTTCACTTGTCTGTTCAGTCATGTCTTCAGCTATACAACCCAAAAGCACACTAGGGTGGGCTTGTATCAGAACTTCCCTGCAGAAGTACTCTTCCCCCGGACACTGTGGGAAGGCACTGTGCTTTTTGTGGCTGCACCCTTCCTGCTTCTTTTGGGGCGGGGAAGAGATCTTATTTTACGTCATCAAATTTTTAAAAAAGCAGGGCTCAGGAACCGTGCACCGGTGACTCCATTAAGAGAGCAGCAGGTTAGGAGCAAGATGTAGCATCACGTGATTTGATTTTCCAAGGATTTTTCAAGTTGATATCTTCCCTGCAGAAGTGCTCTTCCCCCTGACACTGTGGGAAGGCACTGTGCTTTTTGTGGCTGCACCCTTCCTGCTTCTTTTGGGGCGGGGAAGAGATCTTATTTTACGTCATCAAATTTTTAAAAAAGCAGGGCTCAGGAACCGTGCACCGGTGACTCCATTAAGAGAGCAGCAGGTTAGGAGCAAGATGTAGCATCACGTGATTTGATTTTCCAAGGATTTTTCAAGTTGATATACAGCTGAAAATTAGCGCCAATTAAATTAGTGTGTGAACTTCAGCGCTCTCAGACTATGTCATTCTGACTGAGAGTTCCTAATGAACTCACAAACCTTCAAGCATTTAACTATCAGATTGCAATGTATAATTAGCCCATCCGTCCATTCAGATTTTCTGATTCTGATTCTGTTAATTGTTTTCAACTTCTTTCACTCTGGATTAGGAGACTCTTGAATTATTTTCCACAGCCGATGTAATTCCATATGGATACCATGAAACCAAGACAAAAAACACTGTCTTCCCCACAGGAAGATCAGCCCTGGTACCAAAATTGAAATTGGCTGCAATGGGCTCTTTAGAGACACGTACTGCTCCTCTGACCCCCAGACTCCTGGGATTTAGGTAACAAAAGAGCTGCTCAGTAAAATTGTACATAGACACAGGCATGTTGCCTGTAATCATCACCTGCTGCTGGGTTTCAATTCCAAAATGTCTTGTCTTATACAAACGCATATGCAAACTTCCATCTCTGCTTTATGTGCAGACAGCCTGCTTGCTTCCCCCCCGCTTCCGTTTCCACTGTACCCCAGGGTTTGCTTCTATCCCTGTAGCTTGTGGTTGCTTTTATGTGTGCACAGTGAAGATATTATTTAAAATCCAACCTCATTCTCAACTGAACAGATGAATTCTGATGCAGAAGCAGTTTTTAACGGATTCTTTTCCACACTGCATGTGATGACAAATAGGTCAAGGCAAGGGAGAGTCAGACCTGTGAAGAGAGATGACTGCCTCTAGAAAATGCCATGCCTACAGCATTTGACATTTGCCCTGTTGACTCCTTAGTTTAATACGCAGCCAATGAAGCCTAAACAAACTTCCCACACAGACACCATCACTCTTCCTTCAGTGTGTTCTATGCTTTCTTCCTGAAGATTCACCTATGGATCTCAAAGAGTAGGTCAGTCAACACACTTTTCGCTTAGTCTTTGGTCTATTCAGGGATCTACCTGCACTCCTGTCACGGGTTGGAAACAATCAGATCGGTTTGGTATGCAACAGACCCTTCTAGTTTTAAAAATGTATGCTGCAAAGCTGCTTGTACTCTTAAATGTGCTTTCTATCAAAAGATGACATCCAAACTAGCTGCAAGCACGCAAAAGACACAGGTCTCTGCCATCAGTTTTAACACGTAATGCCCTTAGAAGGCTAACTGTTATGTTTCAGAAACTAAAAACCTCCTACTTTGTACTTCTGTCCCACAGGAGATCCCCTCCTCTTCCCACACAGCACTGCTCCTCACACTTGCCACAGCCTGTACTACTCACGCTACACTGGAAAAACAGACGCACTGCCTGCTGCAGCTGCTGCCCGACAGGGCACGGAGAGCCCTGGACACCGCAGTTCTTGGGTTCAGTCCCCCAAGTCAGGATTCCTTTCACCAGCTCCTCCAACCAGCATAACCACAATGCTTGGGCAACACAGAGACAGGGCAGGTTTACAGGTACCGGTCAGGGCACTGCCCGTGTGCAGAAAACACAGCGCACAGCAGCATACAAAACTTTGTCTCACTTTCTTCAGAACTCTGCATAGTCTTATGATGAAGACAAGTTATTAGGCAAAGCACTTGGACACTGCAGCAATATACTCTGCAGACCAATCAGTTAAGACCATTTCAGAATTGCACACAAGCCCTGACCAACTCTGCGGATATCTTTATTATAAGAATAGGCCAATAATAAGGAGAACTTGTTTCAAAAGCCTTACTATGTGGTTACGTTAAGATTCACCCCAGGGCACGCTGGCTGCAATGCCATTTGAAAATACTCCTCCTCACGTAATAGGGCAAGGAATACCTGGAGCCACTTTACTGTGGCTGCAGCCAGTATTCCTGGAGGCAGAGCAGCCCCCATCTGCCCTGAAAACAAGCGCTGCTACTGCTCTTGTAAACAGCGTGCTAGCCAAACTCTCCCTTCCACCTTCTCCTGCCCTTTGCCTCTTCCCCAGCACAGGCTGGTCCAGTGGGGAAATGTGGCACCAGCAACTTTTAGAAGCTCCTCACCACATCCATAAAGAGACTGTGGACAGGAGGGGATACACCTTCCCATTCAGCCCAACACTTTCCCTGTCTCTGCAAGTCTTTCTCTGTAAAAGAGGTATTTTGTCTCACCTGCACAAAGAAAGCAAGAACAAAAGACCCATGAAGGAAAGCCAAATGTCTAGAAATCAAGATTTCTTCATCGTCCCAGCAGCACCCGCCTTTGAGGTCAGGTGCTTCCAGTTTCATTAGAAGATAGCATGTAGGCTCCCTACAAACATAAAAGGGCTGCAAACCCTCTTACAGTAGCTGGCAACACTGACAGAAATTGTGGGACATGTCACAAATGGTCTTAGGAGTAACCCTGACAAATCACCTCTTCGTGAGGTGTGCAGATGGGATCTGCTCTGCGTGTTGCTGAGAGACTTGCCCAGGGGTGCAGCTCAGGCTCCCCAGAAACTCCCCGAGGCTTTATGTGCACTTGTAGCCTGGGTGGAGTCCCACTCTCAATACTGATGTGTAGGAGACAAACCCTGTTAGGACCCTGACAGTTGTTCCGATGCCAAAGCTGGGGTCCTGAGGAGCTGAGAGTCATTTAGCCTCACTTTCTGGAAGTCACACCTCAAGGCCATACCCCAGAATATCTGGCACACCAGTCACTGATAGCTAATGCTGCTGAATAACCAACAGGAAGAACTGTTCCTTCCAGCAATAGCTGGGATGGGTCATTTTTAACTAACAGAAGAACTTGAGTAGTAGAAGACCAGGTCTCTAAGTTAGGCACCACACTTAAGTCTCCTGATGCCTTACTTTCTTCATCTTTAGAAGTACAGCAGTAGCAATAGACCAGACCATGTCTATCAGAAAGGACAAGGACAGTGTAGTGGTTCCAGATGGAGGAACTGGCCATTCCCTTGAAGCTCAGAGGTGGACATTAATAACTAGCACTGCCTAAATACCAAATATGAACGTTAATCAGACTTTTGCACAGCGTCATAAACACAGTGACAGGGAAGGGACCCCCAAAGGTCCTACCGAGCCAACTGGCAGGTGGTACACAAGGGAACCCTAGGCCTGGCAAAGGCTGCAGGCAGGCAGTTAGCATATGTGGTATCTGATACCTGGTGTTTATCAGAATAAGAACTAATAATTTATTTTCCTCTACCTTCTTTGAACGTTGTTTTTTTTCTCAACTGGTCTCTACATGCTTTCATTCTTGTTCAAGCATTACAGTCATGCACAGATACTGCCAGATGATGGAACATTTACAGTCAGATCACAGACAATAGTTGTACATGCCAAGTCTAAATCTCTAGAGTCAGCAGTGACCTTTCACAGACAACTTGACTATCTGGCTTTAAAATCTTTGGCGGTTTTCTAAAGCTAACCTTACCTGTCTCTGATGTCAGGTAGTGACATTTCGTCTGTCAATCCGTTTCTCGCTCAGTCCTGTATGTGATGTATGTCAACGCTGCTAGGTTCCATGCTGCTGCCTGATCTGGTAGGGTTTCCAGCTCTCTCTGCACCTATTGATAGAACAAATGCCTATTTCACCCATCAATAACCAGCAGTTCTCACTCATCATCTAACTGTTTGGTGGGTTTATTCAGCAGTAGCTACAGGATTAACTAGGCAATATTTGACTGAGACTTTTCAGAAATTAGGATCCTTACAGTCTTTATCTTCACACACAAGCAGAGGTTCTGTGGCCTGCAGTTTCTTTCAATCCATGTGACCTCTGTTCAGAATTATAATCCCAAGGGTTAAAAGGCCATTGGAAGCAATGTGGCCTTCGGGGTTGTCTGAGCACGAATATCATGCAGTGCCTTCTCCTTTGCATGAAAGAGGAAGACACAGCATGGTCTCCAACAGGCAAAGAGAAGAAGCTATGAGCCGAGATGCTCAGAAATGCCTCAGGGCTCAAAGTTCCCAGCTGCCACTAAAAAGGAGCATCCAAATGCTGCTGCTACTGGCCCTTTGAAGAGAGACTCTGCAAGGGCTTGTGCTGGCATTTGAACCAAAGCATCTCCTGCATGCCAAGCTCTAGTTTCTCAGTCTTGGATAAAGAGGTCTTAATCTTTTATGACTGGTCTCCAAGAAATGAACCTCAGCTCTGAGTGTGGAGCCTCACTACATCAGTAAACCTGGGGAAGATGAATTGCTTCTCCTTCCTTCAGCAAAGGAAGGGAGGCACAGAAACACATGAGGCAAAAGACCCCAAACACAGTGGCTCACTTCCAGCCCTGACCTTCACAGAAGAAAGGACTCTCTTCCAGCCGCACCTGCCCATACCCATACATAGGCTCAGGGCAGATTAAGGCTGAAACGTAAGTGCACAGAGTGATGGAACAGAAGAAAAGATGTTGCAGATCTCCTAATCCCTTCTGCCTCCTCTGTGCTACCATGACCTGCACACATAACACTAGAAGGAGCGCTCAAGGATGAGATTTGAGGGAAGAACCA